TCCTACTTTTTGGGAAGTTGTTTATAAGATGTCAGCTTAGTTCAGGGTTGATTAATCTCGTTCTTTATCTTTAATTGAATTTCCCTTCTGGGATGAATAAAGTATTTTTCATTCATTCTTTCATTCATTTCATTCATTTAGAAACACCTATGAGAAAGTATTGATGCACAGGGGAAACACTGATGCTGCATAAATGGTGAGCGGACGATGAAAAAAATGGTAAATATAGTGATTTTCTACCTTAGTGGTACTCAAAGCGCTTTACAATGTGTTGCTCATTCAACCGTTCACACCCATTCACACACCAGTGGTGACAGAGCTGCCATGCAAGGTCCTGCCTGCCATTGGGAGCAACTTCAGGTTCAGTGTCTTGCCCAAGAACAACTCATTTGACTGTGGAGTGGTTGGGGATCGAACCGCCAACCTTATGATCAGAGGACAACTGCTCTTCCACCTAACCCACAGCCACACGATGTGACCCATCTGGCATGGATTTCTGAGGTCAGTCCAATACCACGGTGTAGATTGCATATAATCACGAATGAATCCCACTGATTTCTGTAAAACTTCTAAATCTTCTCTCCAGTCGAGGGCCGCTGTTTGATTTGGCAGTAACGCCGAACTTCCCCATGAATAATGCAGAGCATTAGGATTTAAGCTTTCTGAGAAATTACCCTGCGGCTGCACTGGAGAACGTCTGGAGCCGTTTATTTGAACTCTGGAGCCTGGCGTCTGTTTGGTTTGTTTGTCCAGATGAACGATGCCGTTCAAACACAAGTGCTGCTGAATTATAGAACCTGCAAATTTGAAACGCCGATTGTGGTGCCGTTTGTCAAAAGTGAGAGGAGAATGTAAACCAATCTCAGAAAACAGCTTATAAATGCATGAGTTTGTCAGTTGGAATAGATGGTTGTGGGAGCCTGACAGCCACAACCATGCTGAATATATGTATGTATAACGACGTTAACTGAAAATAAACAGTAATCTGGTGTGACTTTGAAGCTATATGTGCTTTTTTTCTCGAATATAAGCATCAGACAAGGTGGATTATGGTTCGGTTCTGTGTTGATTTAAGCCGCCGAGTCTGATATGAGATCAGCTTTAACTCCCCTCCACGGAAAAAACCTCGAAGATTGACTAAATACTCATCAAATCTGATTCATTCATAAGTTAATATAAGCTTTTCTGAGCTCTGGTTGCCTAAAACGTGTGGCTGCCCTCAAGACAAGCACCTAAATATTCCCAACCTTCGCCAAAAGGAGTGGATTCAAATATATAGATGCAGCAAATTAAACCTCCTGACTTCAGTCTGTATCAAAGAAGACAAACTTCAGATATGACTGCACCATCTCTAAGCTGCTGCCGTGCTAAATTCCTCTCTGGGGCTTCATGAAAACGCTTCAGCTGAGCGTTCTGTTAAGTCGCGGAAGCTCCGATTTTACGGTTAAAAGAAGCAAATTCCTAATAACAGCTGAGGATGACGCAGCCCGGCCAGTAATACAGCCAGACGATGAATCTCACACTCCTACACACACACACACACAGACAGGAAAACACTCCAAGTCACACACAAAAACACAGAAAAACCGCAATATGCACGAGCGTATGAAAGCGAGCACACGCTGCGAGTGCTAACATGCTCCTCCAAGCATGATGTACATGAATTAGAGAACATATTGTTCAGCTACAAGTAAGCAGCGGCACTGTAAAGAGGCGTACAGTCGGCTATGTGGGGGATACGGCTTAATTAATTGGATTTCACGCTGAGCGAGCACATATTTGTAGTAGCCGCTCTACAAGAGTCGCTGCTCTTTAAACACACTTGCAGACACACACGAGGGCGAGGAATGAAAACAGAGATGCTGCGGTCAGGAAGGGTGAGGAGAGGAAGAGAAGGAGGTCAAAGGAGGAGGAGAAATATAGAAACAGCTGAGTGTAGGAGGAGAAGTAAAAGACAAAGCATAAAACGGCCAATGTAAACAGCTACAACTGTAAAAAATAAACTGTTTTTCAAAGTTTTTTCATGTAATTTTTAAAATAAATTTCTGTTATGTTACAGATTTTCCCTGTTTTGGTAAAGCACTGTTAATAAGTGGTAAAATCACTGAAATGAAGTAACAATTTTCACGTAAACCCTAGAAAACAAACCAAAATTATAGATAATATCCACATGAACTGTCTCCTATAAAAGAAAGTTTATCGGGAGTAATAAAGTTTATTGTTATCTTATTTTAATTTATGTTGTCTTGTGTCATCTTATCAAATTTCTTACATTATTTTTATGAATAGCAATTTATTCTTTTACATTGTGTGACCATAAAATTACACTGATTTACTTTATTTAAATCACCTAAAAAATATAAATAATTAACAGATATTTTCCATTGTTCTCAGCATTTTGATATTTTTTTTTCCTTCTTTTTTTTAACCTTTAAGAAATCTTTTTATTGAAACCATATGGGTTGGTCAGTTTATTTTCTTTTAGTCATGTACTTTAGAAACAGACAAGGATTTGTAGAAATGATATATGCAAAAATAGATAAATAAATAAACAATAATAATAAAAAAGAAAATTGTATTAATAATAGTAGAAGCAGCAGTAATAATAATAATAATTATTATTATT